ATATAATTTATAGATACATGGCTATTTATGTAAATCTCTTAATAGTATCTAAATCTCTTGGTAGAACCAAATGTTTCACCTATCTCTTTACTAACGACCCTATTAAACTCAATGCGTCTTACGTGTAAACTTAGCCATTGGCAATGATATATTCAGGATGAATATTGGCGTGACGGTAACATGGAACAGGTCACTGAGCACGAAAGAAACCCACTCACAGCTATTACGGGACCTCTGTTATCACCCGTATTACAGGCCGATCCATTATAGGATATACAGCAACACTGTACGATTATTATCATTGAGTCGGCCCCTTATAACAATATATCAGCTCATCTACAGGGATTCTAGATCTGCAATTTACCTTATCGTTACTGTAATCAAAACAGACCGGTCTCAATCACGTCATTAGTATTCATTTTAGGTGTTAAGACGTTGAAGCACGAAGTTAGTTGTTGTATATTTCCAGCAGTGAATGTTTTCTTATACATGATTTAGATTTTAACATAAAGCACGTACATGCTCAAGTATTTTTTTGTGACGATCAGGAATGTTAAACATCACACAAGATGAAAATATTTTCCTATCAGACCACACACATGGCTTATCAAGAAGCAGCTGTTTTCTAATTCGTCTAATCTACCTATATGGACATAGACTGCGATTGGTCTTTTAACATAGAGACACGTTTTATCTCCCAAAATATAGGCTTGCATAACTGTCTTATGATTGGAAGATGGGTTTTGCAATATAATGCCAATTTTGTTGAGGTCGAAATAACATATTTTTGGCGTCTTACAAAGAACTCCACCGGAACCTATCTGCGGATATGCATAAAAGCATATCAAGCCTCAGGTCACTGTATGTATGCAGGAATTCCGTTATGTAATCTCTGATGACGAAATTTACACTATAGAAACGATGGCCCCAAAGCACCATTAATCACGCACATTGTAAAAGTGACACCTGTTGAAACAATGCGACTACTACAACTAAGGAGCAACCATAATAGAGAATTTATAAAGTACTCAGGTTCAAATTGAATAAAGTCAGGTAGTGAAATGTTATTTAGTTGTTAAAAAAGTCTACTTTAATTTAGACATCTCACGTGCAGGCTTTTAAGGCTAGATGTAAATTTGGAATGCGAAAAATAATTCAAATATTTCGCTCCTTTAAAGAAAAACAGATAATAGATTTTATATGCCCCTTTTCAAACGCAAATACCAGTAGACGGCATATTTGATGTTCATTGAAACCGACACGCCATCTGCTGGCGGCAAAGCCTCTCTAGATGCCGAAACGGCGTTATTGCCAGATTCAACCTTGAGCTTGATAGATACAGATGCTGCTGCAAACGATCTTCGTCTTTTTCAGTGCGCAAGGGCTGATTGCAACAATTGGGACGCAAACGGCAAAGATCATATAGCCATAAAACTCTAATGGGGTTATTGATAGCAATATGCTCTCTAATCGGTCTTGTATTGCTTACATAAGCCAGAAGGCTACTATCTCTATAGCCTTTTCTTATGTCTATGGTAGTACCATAAATCTATGTATAACTCCTTTAGAAAATTCTATTATACACTTTGCATGGTTGATCTGGGCTACTACCACGTTTATAGGTCTTTCGGTTTTTAAGCTAAGCAATTCTTAGCATGCAAGCTAACACTTATCTCGATGTTTGCATTACAGTTAATGGTGTCAGCTATAATGCAGTGCCATTGCCCACCGCTGTGCTACTGGGCCATACAGCTACACTGCACTGCAGCTTCAATGACTTGTCAGCAGATGATGTCGTAAGTTGGGTTCGGCATCCCGGAAGGGTAATTGCATATGGCAGAAGAGTAAACCCAGCCTACCAACGCTACCAGGTCAATTTCCTTTTGAAAAGCTTCACACACATCATAACGTAATAACAAAACAATGGTGAGTTCATAAAACATGTCAGATCTTTTGTTTTAATAAACACATCATAAACGGTTAAAATGAGTAAATAACGGAGAATTGATAGATATTTTGGCCTTCCCTTAGGTTACAATCTATTTAGAATAGCTCCAGAGATTTGTCTTATATAACCCCTCAGGTTGTTGGTGACGAGAAGAAAGGAGAGTTCCACTTACTTATTCAGGATGCTCACCTCGAGGACGGAGGAGCTTACACGTGTAACATCTTCGGTGATCTCACGCCTAAAGAAGCAAAGTTGACTGTAGTAGGTAAGATACAGTGTGCAGTTTGTACAAGCGATTAAATACAGTGTGTAGTTTGTTCTCGATGGTATTTAATCACAATCTGTATTTTTATTGAAAATGTAACTTCGATGTTGAAATCTGTAATCAATTTGTATTTTAGTCCCTGTCCCACAGCCTCCTACACTGAGAGGTGCAGAGGTACCAGGTAAAGCAGGGCAGCAGCTTGAGCTAAGCTGTACCTCTTCAGGAGGCCACCCGCCCCCTCAGCTCACCTGGTACAATGGAACGAAGGCAGTTACGGGGCAACACGTGATCCAGAAAGAAACTGAAGGTCACGTAGAGCTTGATCTTATCCTACGACGTCTGACCAAATGGGATAACGGTATGAATCTGACCTGCAGAGCGAGACAACCGTTTCTGGAGATAACTTCTGCTCAGGATTCCTGGACTATTTTGCAGGTGCACTGTAAGTTTAAGTCTATGCTGTACAAGAATGGATTTACTAATATATAAAAGCGAAAATACTACATATTCTTAAGCATTAAATTGTTTATTACTCTTTCTTTTTTTTCGCTCTTAGATCCTCCAAGTGTTACTGTTCCTATACCATCGGTACGTGTGGTTGAGGGAGTCACAGCAGATCTAACCTGCCTGGTAGAGAGCAACCCTGCTGCCACCATCAGATGGACCAGACCAGACCGTCCAGCTGTACTTAATGGCAATATTGGGTAATAAAACGTAATGACCACGCTAGATAGTAGTTTTAAGCAACTTAAGATATTAGTGATCAAAGAACCGGTGACGTTTTGACCTGTAATAAGGCAATATAGTGAAAACATCAAGCGGTGTGTTACACAAGACTATTAATGTCTACATCTTGATATTGTTTCCCAGGCAGAAGATATTCCGGATTCCCAGTACTTCTCACCAAGACGCAGGGGTTTACCAATGTACGGCAGATAACGGTGTACCACCTTTAGCTGTAGGGACTGTGACTCTAGAGGTTCTGTGTACGTATGTCATATTATTCATTTAAAGATCGTTATAACAACATGCCTAATGATGTCACATGTTCGATTGCGGTGCACAAAATAACATACCTTTCAGTCTGATATACGCTGCAAAGACCGGATTCAGTACAAACATTTAGCACGCTTGCTCTGTTTTACATTTAACCCTTTATTTTCAAAATTTGTCACCAAACAGACCCACCTTTGATCAACCCCTCCATGGATGACAAGGTTACCGCTCTACAAGATGATGATGACTTCTCACTGAACTGTCTCGTGGAAGGAAATCCGAAGCCGAAAGTAACGTGGCGGCGGAAGGATACAAAGTTATACTGGAAAAACCCACTCCGGTTCAACCGGGTGCGCTACGACGTGGAGGGGACGTACCAATGCGTGGGAACTAGTGATGGATTCCCTCAACAGACAAAGGATGTTTTCGTCGATGTTTTGGGTCTGTCCTTGCTTATCATTATCTACAATAGGAAGTTGACATTCCATTTGTAATAGAAAATTAACATTGAATCAATCAAAATGTAAACTAGAATGACGCTAAGAAATGCAACTTGTTGGGAATAGCCAAGTTTCAAATTTCGATAATTCAAAACTGAAGCTTGGTATTTTTCATAGGAAAACCCTACATGGAGGGAGAAGGCGACACGGCAATGCTGTCTGCAGATACTGGAGAAACAGTTCGGCTTGGTTGTACAGTAGCAGCTGACCCATTGCCATCTCGCATCAATTGGATATGGCGTAATTACTATGGGCAGGAGACAGAGTTAGATAGTAATGTTGTCCATATCGTCACGACCAGAAGAAATCAGGAAATGACGTCGTCTATGACCATACAGAATGTGGCTGTGAAAGACAGTGGAAGCTACATCTGCGAGACAACTAACATGTTTGGTTCTGCCAAGCGAGACATGCACTTGGAGGTCAAAGGTCATGAAAATATGTTACAATCATATTTTACACCAACAATACTCACATTTCTGTTACTAGAAGTTTGATGATTCATTTCCTTTATTACCTTTATGAAAAATATAGTAAGTTAAGAATTACATGAGCGTATTATCAAGACATCAATATATATTTACTCTTTTTCGCTTGCTCCACAGAGTCTGCTCCGAACCTTGTCATTATAACTTCTATTACTGCTGGAGGGGTTCTAGTGGTGACCGTCGCTGTCATTCTAGTAGTCATCGCGAAGAAAAAGGCTTGGATATGCAAGTCTCACCTTGACGGTATGATTGCATTCAAGCTTTTATATTTGGATTCATGGCAGAATGTTCAAATGTCACAGAAATCTAAATTATCTGTACAGCTGTGGATGTGAAATTTACTATTTTGACAAACAATTGTTTTTTCTAGTTTTACAAATGCCTTCTTTGTCAGACTCCTTTGACCTGTCAGCCCCTCGTCCAATGCCTCCTATGCCGAAGTACGTGTACAACACTGGCACCATTGACTCTGGTGTGGAGGACCTACAGGAGCTACAGGAGATGTATGGAACCCTCAAACCACGTCCTCCGCCACGGTCGGAGAAGAAGTGGGAGTCTGTCGGCCTTTCCTACTCAGGTGAATATCTACATCATAAATATTTTTTGGCTGACCGTATGTTCAAGGGTGTATGCTCCTCTTCAATATTCGTACCTTTGATTTTCAGTCACACATCGGGATTTTAAACTAATCTTTTCCAACACAATGCAGGACTAGTCCACTCCACGTCCCTTCCACCCTATTCCACTGAAGAGGAGTAGCACAGACCTGGCTATGTTCGTAATCATAATGCACACAGAAATTAACAGGTGGGAGTTTTCTTCATAATTTCATATGTACATTAATTTGGGAATAAACAGGCAAACCATCAGTACCAACAGTATCATCCTTTCACACTGAGTTAGAGTAATATGTTACAATGATGATGTAATTTCAAAGAATAAATGGCCATGATTGTATTAACATGCAACAGGAATATACAATGTGATAACAATGGACTTTATCAACTCTAATCTTTAGCTTTAGAATAAACACTTGCCAGTATACCTACTATCTTTGACTGACTAATTTTTTTTTTACTATTTTTTTTTCTAGGTCACCACTGATCGTTCAATGATAGTGCTGCGACAAGAGTATGTGATTAGGGGGAAAACGACCTGTATACGTGCACTGTAAATTTGTGGGTCACCAACACGTGTTGGAAGGTAAAAGAAGTTGTGCAATTTTTTTTCACTATTGAAATGGATGAACACTAGGAGAGGAATGGATGTCGTTGAAAAGTTTGGTCGTTATTGATTGCGATGTATGTTGAATTCTATATATAGATTAGAGAACTAGATGTAGCCGAAATATAGACAGGTACATTGGTGTTTTAACGCTCATTTGTAAACTAATACTATTGTACGTTACATATTAAGGTAAGATCTACTCGTATACCCAAACTTATTAATACATATTGTGTGAGTATAAGATTTTTACCCTATCTAGACCGGGCTTTTTTGGGCTTGGTGGGACCGGGGGGGGGCTCATTCGGCCCCCCCCTCAGAACTCGAGAACGGTATATCGTAGGACCACCAAATTTTCAGAGGATGATGTACTAGTAAAAATTTATCATACTTACAATTTTATGTCGTTGTGACGTAATATGACGTCATTATGACGTCATTAATGTGATTTTATTGGCCAAAACCGTCTAGATAGGTTATTCCCTGAAAACTAAACAGTATACGACATAACTTTACCAAAAGTGTTTATGACAGAAAATAAGGATGTACTAAGTCTTATGTTGCCCATAGCAACACCGGTGACGTCATAAAATGACGTCATGCATATATTACATATCCGCCATCTTGGATCATCAATCTTGAATTTTGAAAAATAGTTTTTTTCAGGATGAAGCCTAAAATACATTGTAAACAGACTAAAGACATTCATATGAACCTTTTTTGTAAAAAAAATGGGAGTATTGATGAAATTTTGAGGAAAATAAGCTGCATTTACCTGATCTAATGATACGGTCCGCCATCTTGGATTTTGGCCAATGACGTCATCAAATTAGCATAAATTATGCATTTTTAATGATAAAATTTACATATAATTATATGTGATGTTATTAATGTTAGAAACAATGTGTAACTTGATATAAAACCCATAAAATTCTGTTGTTTAAATGGAAATAATTAAATTTGGCAAAAAATGCCTGTCAGAAACCCGTTGCCATGGCAACAAGAAAAATCATAATCTTATTCCACTGATACAGATTTGTTGCCAACAATATTTTAGGAAAAGTCACCAAATTTGGCGGTTCTAGCTTTAGCCGTTCAGACGCTAGGTGACATCAAAGTTGCCGCGGGCACTTTAAGCCCCCCCCCCGGTCTAGATAGGG